CCCAAGTGAGTGGCGCAGAAGTCAGCCGAGTGCCCTGGTGGGAGGCGAAGGGGGGCGGGGCGCTGACGTGTGGTGTGTCAGCGGATCCAGGCCCTGCCCCTGTCTGTGTACGTCACCGCTCCCCCCCCCTTCGCCTCCTGCTGTGGCGCTCGGCTGACTTCTGTGCCGTGGGGGAGCCCAAACGGCTGCTTGCTCCCCTGTGGCGGTCCGGCTGAGTGGCACAGAAGTCAGCCGAGCACCACAGCAGAAGGCAAAGGGGGGCAGGGTGTTGATGTGCGGCACGACAGCAGCTCCAGGCCTCGCCCCCTGTCCGTGAACGTCACCGCCCTACCACCCCTTCACCTCCCACAGTGGCACTCGGTTGACTTCTGCACCGCTCAGTCGGGCCGCTGTGCGGGAGCAAGTGGCACAAGCAACTGTTTGGGCTCCGTGGTCACCTGAGTGACAGGCAGGAGGGGGAGGAGAAGAGAAAGAGAGAGGGGAGGGCAACTAACATGAGCTGGGGGGGAGGAGGCAGTAGGAGGAGAAGAGAGAAAAAGAGAGAGATGGAGCAAGAGACCAGAGGCTCAGGAGAGAAGACCGACGTGGAGGAGAGACCTAAAAATCCCGTCTTATGATGGGCTAATTGGCTATTTTTGAAATAACAAGCGGAGTATCCACACTACCAAGCCCGTTATTTCAGAATAAAGGGCTGGTTATTTCAAAATAATAGCTCCTGATTTCCACAAGGAAGAACACATTTTTTGAAATAGTTATTTCAAAAATAATTATTTTGAAATAGCGGTAGTGTGGACGCTTCACTGCTGCTATTTTGAAATAACTACTCCCCAGAATCATTCAGAGTAATTACTCCCCCATACTTCCTAGGGCTCTACATTGAGGTAGCACATCCACATTAAGGGAGCATGCCTCAGATTAATTTCAAGGCTTCCCTGTAGTGTGGACACGCCATTTTTAAATTGTTATTTTGGGAGTTATTTCGAAATAAGTTATTTCAAAATAATGTCCTAGTGTAGACATGCCCTCAGTGAGTTCACACAGTGGTTTATCAATTACCCTTACTATTAAAAAGTTGTGACTTATTTCCATCTGGAATTTCTCCAACTTCTACGTCCAGCCACTGTTTCTCGTTCTACCCTTGTCTGCTAAATTGAAGGTCTGTCTATGATGAAATACAATTCTCCTGTTCTCACTGAAGTGAACTGGAGTTTTGCCATCAACTCAGTAGGAACAGGCACCAATTGCATACTGAAAGCAGCATCTCTTTGTGATGACAGACTTGTAGATTTGTACTTAGTATGCACCTTTCAGCAGGGCCTCTCATGAGCAATGTGGTCTGCCCACGCCTCTTCTCTTACTTTCTTTTCTTTTCCCTACTCTTGGGTGCTCTTTTATTTACCCGCTAAGAGAGCCTCCCTCCTCTGGCATGGCAGGAATTCTTAGTCCTACTTCAGGTCCCTCCTCAAAACTCCCTTTGACTGTCCAGCCTTCCATGGCTAATTCCCATTCCACTCCCCACTGCTCCTGCTCTCATGGGCATGTGCAACAAAACATGCCTTGCGTGCATGGGGAAAACTCCCCATCTTAGCCCTACAGCTGCCACCATAATGTCTTTCAAATCCCTTCTGAAAACTTCTCTTTGCTGTGGTGCTTGCACACCACTGTTGTTTGTCATTGTTCGGCAAGTGCCATCCTGTTTGTCTGTCTTGTTCTCCTGCCATGTCCTGTCTGCCTTGCAGGCGCTGCCTTCTTTGTGAATAGAATCCCCATACAGAATGTGTTGTAGTAGAAAGCAGCGTTGGACCTATAGCTCATCTCTTTAATTTGAAACAGGTTTCTTGGGACAACGTGCAGTCTAGGGGGCTCTGCAAGGAAGGATGAGCTCAGTCAGTCCGCAGACAGCCTAGAGCAAGGGTGGACAAACTCTGGCCCTGAGGCCGGATTTGGCCCACCAAGCCTTTCTCTCCGACCCACCCAGCTGATTAGCAGAGGTGAATACTTACAGCTGGCAGCCTGTGTTCAGCTGCCCCTCCCCTCCTCTCAATTCTCCTGCTAGCTGTGGAGCGGAGAAGGGAGAGCTGAAGTGTTCCTCTGCCCTGTACCCCATTGCTGCAGCACAGGGGTGAGGGAGACACACAGTGGAGCTGCTCCAATCTGAAGTGTGGATGGTAAGTGACCCAGAAAAGTGCAAAGCTGGATGGGGGAGACAATGGAACAGGGCAGATTTCCCTTAAATAGATAGTGCCTGGCCTCTCTCAGAAACTTACCAAGCATCAGCCAGCACACACACTCCCTATCTCATTGTCACCCCCCCCAGTCTGTGCCACACTGTACCTGTGCCACACGCACAGTCACTGTCACACACACACACACACACACACACACACACACTGACACGCACAATCAATCTGCAGCACAAATTCTATCTCTTTCACACTCACAGTCTCTTTGTTTCTCCCTGTAGATTCCAGCCCCACCCCTTCTGCTTGAGGCCCCACCCTTTCCGGGGGCCTAGAACTGGCCGGTGACCACGTACCAAAATTTGTGAAGTGGCCATCCCTCTGTGAAAATGATTGCCCTCCCCTGGCCTAGAGCAAGGTGGTTTGAACTGTGCCACTCTGCTTTTAGGGAGCAGCTTGCTTTGTCTCTCTCTGTTTTGGGATTCTTGTGTGTCTGTTGCAGCCTTCTGGCAAGAATACTTTATGTTTTTGTCTAACTTCTCTGTATACAAGCAATGAATTTTTATACAGCACCCAAATCTCCTGACTCCTACTCCAGTTTCTTGACCAATGCACTAATATGTCTCTCTGGTTGGAAATTCTGGCTAATCTGTACTCTCCAGAAAATGGAACCCAATATTGTGAAAATAAGTTGCTTCAAAGGATATGTTTTCTTGTTAATGACTTTATGAGGTTCTCTACTTTTGTCTGGAACTTCACAATGGCTTTACATTCACATGGGTCCTCCTCTGTGGACAAGAACAAAGGCAATGATGAATCAGCCATCAGACAAAGTAAGAAAAGAATATATCAAAATCTAAACTATGTGGCAAATGAGATAAAGTGAAAACCTTTTCTCCCGCCAGAGGTCTTGGGAAAACCAATACATCCTTTATCTAGGTTCTCTGAATGGCTATTGCTGAGTTTAACCTTAAACTAACTAGTCACACATGTCATTGTGTGTGACTCTCTAGGTAGACCAAGCTCGGTGTATTAGCCACATTTTTATTACATTAATGATTTAACTAGGGCTTTTAAAATCCTTGTTACACAGAAATGGCTTTTCTGATTTTCTGCAAAAAAAAAATCTGTAGGGTTCTACTTATTCATGCCTTGACCATTCCCTGAAATTTTGGAATTGACCACATGTTGTTTTCAAAAGGGATTGTATTACAGACAAACCGAAATGAGTGTGGCACCTGGCTTCTCCCAGCCAATTAAAAGACCTAAATCAGGTACGTGACTAGAGCACAGGCCTTTTGTGCCATTCCGGTGGCAAAAGGGCTGAGAGAGCCAGTTTAACTGGCCAGGGATGGAGACCCCTAGAGAAATTCCTGGATGGTGGAGTTCAGGAAGGCTGTGAGGTGTTAATGAATTTCTGCTTTAAAAGGATGCTGTGACTTTTGACTGAAAAACACTAGGGCAGAAGTACGAAGTATTCTGATTTGGGCAGACTAACATTTTTTCTATCAAAACATTTTGACTCCACCCCCACCAAAAACAGAGAACTCAACAAAACCACATACCTCCCCAAAAACCAACCAACCCACAAGCACCCACCATCTTTTAGAGAAAACCTTCTAGGTGTGTTCTCCTCCTACTTCCGAGCTCACTGTTTTCCACCTGCAATCTCTACAACTATAAACATCCTCTTGCTCTCTCCCCTACTCACCGACACAGATTTTTGTCTGCAGTTTCTTCCCAATTTGGTTGATGGTTTTGAAATCAGCAGTGTAGAAGTAGTGCTCTGCCACTGGCTCTGAGGCAATTTCCCTTAATTCATCTTCAACTGCATTGCCCACTCCTACGGCAAACATCTTAAAGCCTGAAAGCAAGGAGGAATGTCAGTCCCACTGCCACCCGTTCATTAGAACAGCAACAAGAACCCAGCCAGCTTGTACATCTTGCTTGGCTTTTGGCACACGATGTGCTGCATACAAACCAGGGCACCCGCCCTGTACGAAGCCATGGACCAAATGCTCAAAGATGGGCACTTGAGAACAGTAACATCATTTGCATGTGGAGTTGTTGTGTTTTAAATCCCTCAGCTGCAGGGACTCATGGAACGGTTGCTGCTATGGCTGTTTAATGCAAAGCATGCACCTAACAGGGAGCTATCTCTTTAAGAGACCCCTGTGCGGAAGGTAGGAGTGAGCTGAGTGTTACTGTTTCTGGGCAGATTTAGAGCTCCACACCCAGACACTTCTGGAGTTTGTGTGGTAGTTCGGGGTCCTAGGCCATGAGCAAGCAGGCAGGGCAGTTGCTTTTCTAAGGGCCTTGTGTCCTGTGTGAGCTGGCAGAAGCCAAGCCAGGAGCAGAGAGAGGACTGATGTTCCGCACTGTGCAGCAGGCCGTGACGATGTTCACCCTCTATCAGGGCACATGGGCAGTGTTAATTAGAGCAAGGGGAAACTGGGAGGAAAAATAACATCCTCTGTGTCAGCTAGATGTAGGGTTACCAGGTATCTGGCTTTGAATCGGACAGTCCAGTATTTGAGTTTTCTGTTTGGGAAACAAATTGAGAAAATATCAATGTCCAGTATGTTCTAAATGCGATGGAATGTCGATTGTCATCTAATGTCAAGTGTGTGCGGTATTGTTGTTGGAACATCTGGCATCCCTAACCGGATGATCTGAGTGCTGTTTGGATTTTTAGCCAAACTGTTTGAGTTCGTGTCTTAGTCAGTGGGATTCTTCGGCATCTCTTTAAATAAAGTCCTTTCTATTTTGTTATTCTCAATTTTTGTATTTTCTTGTAACGGGGTTTTCTTTTGTGAGTTAACTGACTGGCTAATCAGTGAGCTGGCTGCCTAGCTGTGATCACAGCAGAGGAAGAGTCTGCCTGGACTCCAGCTGAGGATACCTACAAGCAAGTGGAGAGATGGTGCCGACTCAGCGTATGGCACAGATTTGATGAACAGAGGCACAAACTGAGACTTTGGTGAACTAAATCTAAGCTTTTGGGACCTCACTGTCTCTTCTTACTGTGTTTGGACTGTACTGTTCAAATTTTACTTTTCGTTTTCTCTTATGCTTAACTGTAACTGGACAAGATGGGTATGTCTTGACTGCATCCCTCTGTCAGCAGAGGGATGCAGATTAGGTAGGTCGACATTGCAAATGAGGCAAGGATTTAAATATCTCGTGCCTAATTTGCATTAAAATGGCTGCCGTGTTTTGCAGTCTCAGCACTTCGTTGGCAAAAAGTGGCAGGCTAGAGGGGGATCTGTCGAGAAAGAAAGCCCTTTTCGACAGATCCCTTATGTCTCCTGCAAGGAGGTTTACTGGCATCCCCTGCCCCCCAGACCCGATGTTACCTGGTTCCCCAGGGAAGCTATGTTCTGGCTTGAACAAGAACACAAAATGGCCACCGGCAAAAAGCCTAAAGACCAAGGGGAAACAATGCCTTCCCTGGGTCTTAGTGCTCAACCTCTCCCCTGTTCCTGTCCATATTCTAACTCTGCACTCACTCTGGGTATGTCTACACTTGCAGCCTAATTCAACCTAGGGCTGCAAATGCAATTTGGAAATGCAAATCAAGCCCAGGATTTAAATATCCCGCGCTTGATTTGAATCTTCCCAGCCAGGCGCCGTTTTTTGAAATTTACAAGCCCGAAGTAACTGCCCGTGTCTACATGCGGCAGTGAAACAGGCGTTCGAAATAAAGCCCTAGTTCGAACTACCTGTTATTCCTCCTGCAATGAGGTTTAACAGGTAGTTCGAATTAGGCTGCAAGTGTAGGCATAGCCTCTGAAAGGGGCCATGTTGTTTTAATGCTGTTTTATTATTTAAAATTTTTTTGTGCTTAATTCTTGGAGTCCTTTTTTTTTTTTTTTTTTGCTCAGCAATGTTGGTCCCCCTCCCCCATTTTTTTCCTCAACAGAATTTTTTCCTTGGTGTTTTTTTTTTTTTTTTGGCGTTCGAAATAAAGCCCTAGTTCGAACTACCTGTTATTCCTCCTGCAATGAGGTTTAACAGGTAGTTCGAATTAGGCTGCAAGTGTAGGCATAGCCTCTGAAAGGGGCCATGTTGTTTTAATGCTGTTTTATTATTTAAAATTTTTTTGTGCTTAATTCTTGGAGTCCTTTTTTTTTTTTTTTTTGCTCAGCAATGTTGGTCCCCCTCCCCCATTTTTTTCCTCAACAGAATTTTTTCCTTGGTGTTTTTTTTTTTTTTTTTGGGGAGGGGTTCAGTATTTTTGGTTCAACTGTCTGGCAACCCTATCCAGTTTCTATGATTCCGGACCTTCACGCTGGGAAAGGCTGAGGCTAGATCCAAATTTTATTTGGGACCCATGTCTAGCCTGTGTATGGGGCACCACTGGATGGTTGCAGTCTAGTGGGTTAGACTATAGGCACTTGCCTTCCATCTCCCAAGGTGAGTGTACTTGCTATCCAGTGATGAAAGGTCTGATGTGATACTGTATATGGATTGAGTGAAAAGATAAGGGAAGAAAATCAAGACCCCTTTAAAACTATTCTCGTCCCAAAATGATTCCAGTCAAACAAATGCTTGTTCCAGGTAACTGTGGTAATTAGTGCCAAGACAGCCCAGGGGGAAACCAGGGGGTCTGAATCCTAAAGATTAAGCAATTGAATCAGATGCCTGAATTCTGTAGTATTGCTCTATAAGTCTACGGGTGTGTCTAGACTACAGAGTTTTGTCGACAAAAGTGGACTTTTGTCGACAAAACTATACCTGCGTCTACACTACTGCTGAGTTCTGTCGACATAACGTCAACAGAACTCAGCAGTTTTGTCGACGCTGGTAAACCTCATTTTACGAGGCATAACACCTTCTGTCAACCGAGTTCTGTCGACAGAAGGTGTTATTGCCTGTAGGGTTGTGTCTAGACTACAGGGTTTTGTCGACAAAGCAGCTTGCTTTGTCGACAGAACTGAATGTAGTCTAGATGCTCTTTGTCGACAGAAGCTTTGTCGACAGTATCTGTCGACAAAACTCCTGTCGACAAAACCCTGTAGTCTAGACGTACCCTACATCTACAATGCAGCACTATTTCAGGATACCTCCGAAAATACCTGTCTGGTCTCCTGTGTAAACTGAGCAAGGTGATGTCAGAGACATTGGACATTACAGTTACATATGAGTCAACTGGGATATTATCAAGAGGAACAGATGAACAGCAGGGGAGAAGAACTTTTTGAGCGAGTACACTTCAGAAGAATACCTTTCAAAGGGCTATTGGACTATAAAAAGAAGGGGCCAGAACTCCTTAGTTATCCATCACTGATGGGATAAAAAGGCCAGCACCCTCTGAGTCTGTGAAAGTTGGCTCCTTTCTGCTGGAGTTGCTAATAACTTGATACAAGTGAGAAATTGTTCAGACACAGACATAACTTGTTAGAATTTTTGAGGCACTAACAACATGTGATTTTTGCTTTGTTTGTAACCCCAATTTCTCTCTCTTCCTTATTACAAATCTGTGTTCTTTCTTCATGCTCTTATTCCTGTTTTGTTACAAACCCATCCCGGTGCTTTATATTAAACTAAAGTGTGGGAACTAGCTAAACTTAACAGATAGGTGTATGGCCTGTATCCTCTGATCAGCAGATTTAATCATTTTCTGCGGGCGTCCAGGGAGAGGGACTGGTTACTTCAGATAGACATCTCTGGGGGTATGTCTACACTACAATGTTAGTTCGAACTAACTTAGTTCGAATTAGTTAATTCGAACTAAGCTAATTCGAACTAACACGTCTAGAACTAAAAACTAGTTCGAATTAGCGTACCTTTGGGAATTAGCATACCTTTGGGTATGTCTACACTACAGCACTAATTCGAACTAGTTTTTAGGTCTAGATGCCCTAGTTCAAATTAACTAATTCAAATTAAGTTAGTACGAATTAGTGCTGTAGTGTAGACATACCCAAAGGTATGCTAATTCCCAAAGGTACGCTAATTCGAACTGGTTTTTAGTTCTAGACGCGGTAGTTCGAATTAGCTTAGTTCGAATTAACTAATTCGAACTAAGTTAGTTCGAACTAACTGACGTTAGTTCAAACTAACATTCATAGCCGCTACACTAGCGCTCCGCTAGTTCGAATTTTAATCGAACTAGCGGAGCGCTTAGTTCGAACTAGGAAAACCTCATTTTACGAGGCTTAAGCCTAGTTCGAACTTACTAGTTCGAATTAAGGGGCTACACTCCCCTTAATTCGAACTAGTAAGTTCGAACTAGGCTTAAGCCTCGTAAAATGAGGTTTTCCTAGTTCGAACTAAGCGCTCCGCTAGTTCGAATTTTAATCGAACTAGCGGAGCGCTTAGTTCGAACTAGGAAAACCTCATTTTACGAGGCTTAAGCCTAGTTCGAACTTACTAGTTCGAATTAAGGGGCTACACTCCCCTTAATTCGAACTAGTAAGTTCGAACTAGGCTTAAGCCTCGTAAAATGAGGTTTTCCTAGTTCGAACTAAGCGCTCCGCTAGTTCGAATTTTAATCGAACTAGCGGAGCGCTTAGTTCGAACTAGGAAAACCTCATTTTACGAGGCTTAAGCCTAGTTCGAACTTACTAGTTCGAATTAAGGGGCTACACTCCCCTTAATTCGAACTAGTAAGTTCGAACTAGGCTTAAGCCTCGTAAAATGAGGTTTTCCTAGTTCGAACTAAGCGCTCCGCTAGTTCGAATTTTAATCGAACTAGCGGAGCGCTTAGTTCGAACTAGGAAAACCTCATTTTACGAGGCTTAAGCCTAGTTCGAACTTACTAGTTCGAATTAAGGGGCTACACTCCCCTTAATTCGAACTAGTAAGTTCGAACTAGGCTTAAGCCTCGTAAAATGAGGTTTTCCTAGTTCGAACTAAGCG